TGTCAGGGGCTGGGGAGGCTCAGAAGATGGGGGTGCTGAACTGGGGGCACGGGCTGGGGGGGCTGACCTGGGGGGATCAGGGGATGCGGGGGTCAGGGAATGGGGGAACAGGGGATGCGGGGGTTGAACTGGGAAGTCAGGGAAAGGGAGATCAAGGAATGGGGGGGCTGAGATTGAGGGGTCAAGAGTTGAGGGGTCAGAGGATGGAGGGGGCGCGGGGCGTTCCTGGCTCTCTTGAGTGTGAACAATGGCCATGAGTCAGAGCGGGCTCCGGGCCACCGAGGGGGAGGACACGCCCCCCGTCCCATCCCCGTCCCCTCCGAAATGGGGGGTCCCCACGCCTCCATCCCCACTGGACCCCATACACCCCTCCCTATGAGTCCCCCTATGGGCCCCCAGATCCCGCCCGCSCCAACGAACCCCAGTGGGTCCCACGGGCCAGGGCCACGCCGTGGGACTGGGGACGCTGTCATGACACCACGGGCAGTGAGCACAGGGCTCTGCTGGCGGCGGGCACCGTGCGCTGCCCCACTGACGCACGCGAACCGCCCCGTCGGGGACACCTCCACGGCGGGGGCGCTTCTCCGGTGGGCTCCAGCTGCATGTGCACGTCCCCGCGAGCGAGGAGAGGGTCCCCGTCGAGGCTCGGAGCTACGGCAGRTGAGTGCCGGTGCCCTGTCCGTTCTTTCCACCCCATTCCTCCCCTTACCACCCCGTCCATCCCACCTGGACACCCACCTGGGGGGCTCGGTGACRGCGTCGGGGGCAGCGGTGACAGGAGGGTCCTCGGGCGCGGGGCCGCGCGGGCGCGGGCAGAGGCCCAGGCCAGGGCAGGCGCGGGGGGCTCCAGGCAGGACCCCCGGCAGGTTCCCCATCGCGGCCCCACTGAGCCGGGAGCGGCCGCTTCCCGCTTCCTACAGCCCGGGGAAGTGGTGACGAGACCGCGACGCCCCCGCCCCGCGCACAATGGGCACCGCCACCTCCACCGTCACCGTCACTGCCACCGCCACGCGGCTTGGGACACATCGGGGACCCCATCGGGGGGCGTCAGACACAATCTCAACCCCGGACCCCCGGCATGTTGCCCTGGAGAGGGAACCATGGCACTCAGAGAGGGGGACGCGGTGTTCATGGCCGGGTCATGGCACTTGGGGAAACTTGGGGATACATCACACACGGGTGGGACACAGCACTGGTGGCAGCACGGCACTGGGGGACACCTGTGGCACTGGGGGGCATGCATGACACCGAGAAGGAGGACACATGGTAACCGGGGAGGACACAGCACTGAAGGGGACATGGCACCCACGGGGGACACGGCACTGGGGGGACACGCGCAGCACTGGGGGAACATACACATGGCACTGAGGTGGACATGGCACCCTGGGGACACAGCGATGGCACCCAGAGGTAGGACACAGCACTCATGGCGAGACACACAGCACCCGGTGGGCCGCGGCGGTGTCAGGGATCCCCATCCCGTCCACAGGACGCTATGCCCCCGCCACCCCCTTTGCACCAGGAGGTTGGGTGCCCCGGGGGTGTCCTGCCCCCCCCCCCCCAGCCCCCCGGCCGTGGGGCGGATGTCCGGCGGGACCCCCCCCATTTCCCGCCGCTTCCACCCAGTTCCGGCCATTGACGCGCTAGGCGCTGCCGGGACCCCCGGGCGAGCACCCCAGGGGGGGACTATGCAGAGGGGTTGCACCCCGCGACCCTCCCCGGGGGCGCACCCTGGGGAGCAGCGCGGCGGGGAGGGTTCACCCTAGCTGAGGAGGGTCCTACAGTGACCCCAGAGTGGGCGGGGGTCCCAGGGATGGCGGGGGCGGGGACTCCGGGCGGGGGGGGTGGGGGGGTGGAGGGGGGGTGCGGGGTCCCCCGGGTCCCGCCGGGTGGGTCCCTCCGGAGGCTCGAGGGGGGGCTCAACCCGCAGCTCCCGCAGCGACGGGAAACCGCACCCGGTGGCGGCTCGGCTGTTCCTTCCTGCGGGGGGGGAGCAGGGCGGGGGGATCGGGAGGCGCGGGGCGGGACAGGGGCATCGCGTAGGGGGCAGAGCCGGGACGGGGGGAGCCGCAGGAACCCCCGGGGGGAAAACGGAGGAGACGGCCCCGGCCCCGCGCGCGGAGTGGGGCTCGATCACCCCATCTTAGGGGATCCCGGGTTGCTCCCCCTCCTCGGGGTGTTCCCTGTCCCCGCCCCCACGCGCAGGAGGCGGGGCAGGCTTGTCCGTCACGACAGAGCGCCCATGCGATTCGCTGTCCTGCTCGGGGGGGCGGGGACTCGGCCACGGGGCAGTCGGGGTGCTGGTGAGGGTCAGGGCTTGTCCTGCCCCACTGATCCCCTCACTCTCAGCTTCCCCAACCCCACAGACCCCCACCCATGGCCCCCGCCCCGCAGCTCCCCCCCCCCCAAACCCACAGCCTCCCATGTCCCCCTGCTTCCTCCAGCCCCACAGACCGTCCCACCTTACAGCCCCCCCGCCCCACGGTCCCCCTGTACCCCACAGTCCTCCCCGCCCGGCTCTGCTGAACTCCGGTTGTTCTGGTCTGTCCATTCACATCTGGTCGTATCTGATGGATCTGGTCAGTCCAATCGATCCATTTGGGTCCTGTCGGTCCTTTTGGGACCGGTCGGGCCCAGTCGATCCATTCAGGTCCATTCGCGTCCGTTTGGGTCCGTTCGGGTTCATTTGGGGCCGTTCCAAGCTGGTTGGGGCCGGTCGATCCAGTCGGTTTGGTCGGGATTGGTGGGATCTGGTCGGGTCGGGCTGGTCGAGTCAGTCCGGTCACACCAGCTGGTTCGGTCGGTCCATTCGGCGCCAGCGGGGCCATTCGGGTCCGGTYACTTCGGTCGGTACCGGCGGTCGCTGCCCCGCGGCGGGGCCGGGCCGGGTCCGGGGCCATTTTCAGCACCTGGGACAGAGACCGGGAGCATCCGGAGCAGCGTCAGGACCGGGACGGGGACTGGGCTGGGGCTGCGGCTGCACCGGGACCGCACTGAACTGGCACTGCGACTTGGGCCTGGACTGGGCTCTGGCCAGCACTGAGGCCAGCCCTGGAAGAGGACTGGGACTGGATTGGTCTGAAGTGGGACTGCGATCGGCACCGGGACCAGAACCATGGCTGGAACAGCAATGGGACYCTGAATGGGCTGGGGCTGATCTTTGACTGCCACTGGGACTAGGGCTGGACCACATAYGGACTGGGAATGGATTGGGATTATTTTGGATTACGAAGGGACTGGACTGGTCTGGAAGTGGACAAAGACTGGAATTGGAACTGGTGCTGGGACTTGGACTGGGCTGGACTGGAACTGGGATTTGGGCTGGACTGGTACTGACACTGGGACCAGACTGGACTGGAAAGGGGACTGAGATTAGAATTGAACTGGGACTATGATTCGACTGGGATTAGGACTGAGGCTACAGCTGGACTGGACAGGGACCTGGTGAAATGTGGGCTGGGGTTGGGACTGGACATGACTGGAAGTGGGACAAGGACAGGGACTAGAATTAGGATTGGATAGAGATTAGTCTTAGACCAGCATTGGGATTAGGACAAGGGCTGGCCTGGGACTGTTACTGGGTCTAGACTGGGAAAAGGATTAGGCTGGGCAGGGATGGCAGGACTGGGGCTGGGAGGCTCCCACCAGGACCCATCTTGGGCTAAGCCTGGAAGCTTTGCAGCTGCCCCACTGTCCCTGTGCTCCCATATCTGAGTGTCCCACTGTCCCTGTTATCTCAGTGTCCTGATGTCCTGGTGTGCCAGTGTCCCCATATCCCAATGTCCCAATGCAATGGTGTCCCATTGTACTTTACCCCGGTGTCTTGGTGTCTTAGTGTCCCCGTGTCCCTGTGCCCCAGTGTCCTGGTGTCCTGGTAACCCACTGTCCCCATGTCCTCGTGTCCTCATGCACGGGTGTCCCCACATTCCCATGTTCCCGTGTTCCCATCTCCCGATGTCCCCGTGTGCCTGTGTGCCACCTGTCCGGGTGTGTGGCCTCGCTGCAAAGAGAGGCTGAGACCAGAGTTTTCCCCCGGGGGTGTCGATGGGCGGCCCGGGGTGTTTTGGGGGTCGCGGAGAAGGCGTGGCTCGGTGGGTGATGGGTGTGTCT